AAAGAATCTCAAATGAAAGACCTAGGCAATAATTAAGTTCTGTTTGGGATTACAACCTGAGTACGTGAATAATGGAATCCTTGTGCATCAAATGGCATACACTGAAAGAGTACTCAAGGAGATTTAATAAGGACCAGGCCCGCCCATTGACCAGGCCCAATGGTGGTGAGAAGCCTCAGATTGGATAGTGATCCACTCAGTCCGGAAATGCCATACTTCAGTGCCATAGGAGTTCTAATGAATTTTGCTAGACACACTAGACCAAACATTTGTTTTGCCGTGAGTCTCCTGTCTAAATTTAGTTCATGATCAACCCAAAGGCACTGGAAAGGTTTAAAGGAAGGTTTGGTTAAATTTTAAAGTTTATTCTTCCTGCGTTGTTTACTTGGGTTTATTCTATACTGATCTAACCAAAGAAGATCCAGTTTGCTTTGGTTTAGTTTGATTTGCTGATGCAGGTTATTCATAAGATCTGATTATGGCATGGTCAATGAATAGGAACTACGTGTGGCTTGATCCCTTCCAAGGGTACGTAAGCAGCCTTCCTTAAGGCGCATCTACTACTACTACTACTACTACTACTACTAATACTACTACTACTACTACTACTACTACTACATCAAAGACCATCATATTTGAAGACAACGCAGCCTGTATTGCTCAACTAAAGGATGGCTATATCAAAGGGGATCGAACGAAGCATATTCTGCCTAAGTTCATCTTCACTCATGAATTACAGAAGGACGGTCAGGTCAAAGTTCAACAGATCCGGTCAAGTGAGAATTCAGCCGACCTATTCACCAAATCATTGCCGACTTCAACGTTCCGGAAGCTCATTCATCAGATCGGGATGCGCGGACTTAAGGATCTACAGTGATGCTCAAATCAGGGGGAGTAATGCGTGTTGTACTCTTTTTCCTTCACCATGGTTTTGTCCCACTGGGTTTTCCTGGTAAGGTTTTAATGAGGCAACATTCCCCAGCGCATTATAGAGATCCCGGTTTAGTATCGGGCACGGTTATGTCTTCCAAGGGGGAGTGTTATAAACCATATAGATGGACTCTATAACCGGTCCATGGCCCATTAGGGTTTTACCTTATTCTTTGTATCCTGCTATTATCCTTGTATATATCCCCTATCCTATTAATGAAAGACACAGTTTACAACACTAGTTAATTTTTTGATTCTTTCGTTTTTTATAATGTTTATTATAAGAAAAAGAAACAAGAGAATCGATGATAATTGCACGTCCCACTAATGACTTATTCAGCATCTCATCTTTTACTTTCGCCACTTATATATATTTCCTTTTTCTCCCTTCGTGTCCGCCAAGTCCTCGGGACAAAAGAAGACAGATAGAATTAAAAAACTCAAACTAATAAGTAATAACAAATCAAGCGAGTTATAATAATATGATTTCGTAATTAACATTAAAATAGATAGAAGGACCCACTAATTAGTGAAAGTATCTTAATGTTCACATCTGTCAACCTTTTTTTTATAGGAATTTCTTCTGACTTGTTTCAGGTTGCTGTCGTTTCATTTATAATATTATTTTATTCAATATTCGTTTTATTTTTACGTCTTTACGATTTTAAGGTTAAACATTTCTCTTAGGACAAGTTCTTTGCTTTTCTATAAAGTGACATTGATTTGATGAAGGATGGTTCTAGACTTCTAGCCGTTCTACTGTTCTAGGCTTCTAGTTCCATCCGTTCTCCATCCATGTACAATATGGTAAAAAAGAGAAATATATATAGTTCTGTGCACAAAAAAAAAAAAAGAAATATATAGTTCTAGATATTTCAAATTCTAATATAGATTTCTGACTTATATGTACGATATATATATATATATATATATATATACATATTTTGGATTATGATACGGGATAATCTCCCAACTTTCAAATTGTAGCCATTTAATATTTCAATTTCATATGTGGTCATTTAAAACATGAAATAAACGTTGACTAACGTATGAGACATGAAAATTCGTTGACCAGACCAAAATAGACATGCCGTTATCAGTCGTTAACGGAACCTCTAACGTCCGTTATCACCCGTAACGACTCTGTTAATCAACTTTCAAATTGTGGCCATTTTAAACACCAACTTCATATATGGTCATTCAAAACATAAACTAAACGTTGACTAACAATTTAGTACATGAGAATTCGTTGACCAGCCCAAAATAGACATATCTTAATCAGTCATTAACAGAACCTATAATACTTGTTATTACCCGTTATCGACTCTGTTAGTCTGCCCAAAACGACGTCGTTTTGAAAACAATCGAGAGGAAATCAGGACAATTTTTTTGCTTTAAAGCAGATTCCAAGGACATAGTTTGATATAGAGACAATTGTAGAGCTAGTATTTGGAAGCAAACATCGTTTATATATTTGTTTTAAATCTAAAAAAGAATCATGGAATCAAACTTGTAGACCCATCATAGGACTAAATGTAGCTTTTCTGAAATGGAGATGGAGATAATAGGACTATTCATCTTGTTTGAGCTATTGTAGAAATAGATTTGGGGATTTGGTGTTTTTATTTGGGAAAAATCTTGATTTCTTCTCGATTATCCTCAAAACGAAGTCGTTTTAGACATACTAACAGAGTCGTTAACGGGTGATAACAGATGTTATAGGTTCTTTTAACGAATGATGACGACATGTCTATTTTGGCTTGGTCAACGAATTCTAATGTTTCAAATGTTAGTCAACGTTTAGTTCATGTTTTAAATGGCCACATATGAAGTTGATGTTTAAAAATGCCACAATTTGAAAGTTGACTAACAGAGTCGTTAGGAGTGATAACGGGAGTTAGAGGTTCCGTCAACGATTGATAACGGCATGTCTATTTTGGCATGGTCAACGAATTTCCATGTCTCAAACGTTAGTTAACGTTTAGTTCATGTTTTAAATGACCACATATAAAATTGATGTATTAAATGACCACCATTTGAAAGTTGGGAGATTAAATGACATTTTACTCATTATGATACTCTTTAGTATGATGTTTTTTTAGTTGCCGTCACTCTTATTTTGTCGTTTACTTTATACATGGATGGTTGAGTAAATTTACGAATAGTTAAGTAAATTTGTAATCATGATTGGAACTTCTATTATAGACCACATTTTTGCAAAGAAAGGAAGAAGGCAAAGTCATCGTGGAGTGGGTCTCTTACACATCCACGTTTCAAACATCTTACATAATGTGTTGATTGATTACTTTGTCTTTAGGGACCAAATTGAGAAAGTAGAAGGAAAAAAAGAACGTTTGAAGCGGTTGATTGATTAGTGACTTCAACCATATCTTGTTTCATAATATACGTTTAAACCTTTTTCCAAAGTACATATAATTTTCTTGACAGCTCCAAACTCCAGAGTACATATAATTGAAAACCCTTTATATATAAAAAAAAAAAACATATACGTAGTTAAATTCGACAATATTTAATCACACAAAATAAAAAAAATCAAACTATAACTGTCGGATCATCAATTGCCAATGCTTCCGTAAATTTTCATCCTATCAATTTTAATCCAGCTTTTATCAGTTTAAACTTGGTCCACTAAAAATTTATCCTCCATTCAATCACTTGATATAGTATTCAAGATTTAATTTAAGTCAGACTGCTAGAACAATTGCAATTAACAAATTCACCTTTTATTATGCTTAGGTATTTTGATATACTATCAACCCTCAAAATTAGCTATTATCATTTAATGTAAAGTGAAATTATATTTTATTTAAATGGAAATCTAGAAAGTTGGCTGTTTTGCATTAATTTTGGGAGTAATGACTAAAAATTAAGGTATTGTGTTATTTCAAAACATATGCAGCTAGTATATCTTTTAGAAAAAATTCGTTGGAATAGAACGTTTTTCACTATTATTAAAAAGTTCAGTTTAACAATTGTCCCTATCTTTTAATATATAGTTATAAAATTTTAGATTATGTTCATTTTTCAATTTTTTTTCTTTTTGCTTTTTTTTTTCAATTAAAAAATATATCTACCCGTTAGGTTAGAATTTAGGAATCATCGTCCCACCTATCTAAATGGAATGATTTGAATACACTCCATAATCTATTTTGTCCCCACTAATCCCGCCGCCTAAGTGTTTAACCACAACACGGGTTCAGATCTAATCACTCATTATTATAAAGTATATGTCTCTCATACTATATTTTATGACATAAAGTTTAAATCACTATCATGATTTACTTGATTATTTGTTTATTTTTGTCATGATTCGGACGGACAATCAACCTCTGTGCTAATCTTTCAATTTGCTTTAATTAATATTCAAAGGTGCATTGTTCATAATCACTAGTATTATTTTAGACCAAAAAAAATCACTATTAGTTTCACAAGATTTGAATTCAATTTGTTTTAGTTAATGTTCCTGCTGGTAATCACTATTAGTTTCACATAAAGTACAAATATATATGAGAGGCCATCGGGAAGCTTCTTCACCTACTTCTCAGGCTAGTTTACAATTCTTAATCAAATCATATTATGAATATATGGACATTACATATTGAATCGAGCTGCTTAATTAGTATACAAATAATAAATAACATTGACAAAAGATAGTATTCGAAGTAGAATTTTTTATATTATTTTGTACATTTGATTTTAATTTAAGTAACAAAATATTTAATTACTTACCACTCAGTAGGCCTGGGCATTCGGGTACCCGTTCGGGTTCGGTTCTTTTTTTTCGGGTATCGGGTCTATTCGGGTAGGAGGTCAAGACCCATTCGGGTATTCTAAAAATTTGGTTCGGGTTCGGTTCGGGTTCGGGTCGGTTCGGGTATTTTAATAAAAAAAACAAAATACCCAAAAATAACCAAAAATACCCGAAATATTTTCGGGTTCGGGTTTTTAACTCATATATACCCAAATCTAACCGAAATACTCGATTTATCGAAAATACAATGGTTACTCTTTACCCAAATATAACCAAAAATATCTAAAATAAAACCAACTACCAAAGACAATACTAACAACATAAGACAACACCAAACGACCTAAGACAACACCAAACCACACTATTTTCAGGATCATTGCAGTGACAACAATGAAACCTCCCCACGAGACAACAACAAATTGGCGCAGCAATTTTTCCCTTTCTTGGATGTTTAATGGATGTTTGCAAAAACAACAACAAGTCAATTAAAACACCTGAGTTAATAAATCAAAAACAAAGATGATCCATGCAACAAAAGCGACTAAATGTCAGAAGTTCCTGAGGTTGGTTTGGTGTTGCTAACATCCAAATCTGTAGCTCTAGATCCCCATACTTCAAAAACTCGACCAGTGTAAGGAGAAATGTAGCACACATTTCATTGATATCTGCATCTGAATTAAGCACCAAGATTTTCTTTACTAAACCCATATCCTGATGTGCGTGTTCAACCAACCCAGGGATCCCATTGTCTTCACAAAATGAATCAAACATCGACCATGTCATATAGTCAGGATCGATGACTATTCCCTGCTTTAGAGATCCTCCTATGTAATTGACTGTCTTGTTCTCATACTTCATTAATCCTCCATAATGTAAATTGATTTTGATCTCTGAAAAACTGCAAAATACGATGTCAATCATATCTCATTCGTCACTTTCTAAACTGAGAAATGAAAAATAAGCCAAACAAGACTTCACACAATGAAACCGTACCTCATCTTAATGCACGGATTGCACTCGAAGAAAACTTGCAGTGAAGAAATTCAATGGAAGTTAATGTTTCACGGTTCTAGATCAAGACCTTGCACAAGGGCTCAACCTGTTGTATCATGGCACCATCGAAAGCAATAGAGAATAGCACCGAAGTTTAATTAGTGATACTGAACACAAATAAAATAACACATATGTGGCTCGGACTCCTCTATTTACAAGCACAGAAACACTTCAAATTATTTTAATTTGCTTACCGAAGTTTCTGTAACGCATAGCACATTCAGAAGCCTCAGACACCTACAACAGGTAAGAAAGAACGCAAAGAAGCATAAATCAGTTTTGATTCCATCGATTTTAACCGACGAAGGAACGAACAGTGGGCAAAATTAAAAACAGAGAAAACAGTGATTGAGATTCACCTTAAACCTTCGTCTATCTTATCAATTTGAGAAGGGAACTTTGACAAGTGAAGAGATTAGGGAGAAATCGAGATTGATTTTGGGAATTAGGGATGAAATTTTTTGGGATTTTGGTTTGGATTTTAATCTCATCGGCCCCCTCCCCTCATAATCATTCTCTAGTTAGCCCCCGAAATAAAAAAACTTGTGTTAAATTGATTATTTTAATTCTGAAAAAGAGTAAAAGACAAATAAAACTTGGGTTTTCAACTTATTTACTGACCCAACCTCAATTTGGATCTAGATCCACATACATTGGGTCGGATTTTGGATCATTTAACCCCAAAAATCTCAAAATCGTAAAGTTCCAAAATCAAAATCCCTAACTCTAATTTTTTTCCCCTTTTCTCTAAAAAAAAAAACGACGAATCGCCGTTCATCTCTCCGCCGTTCTTCTCTCGTCGCCGGCAAACCTTCTTTTCTTCCCTCTTCTCTCCGAATCGAAACTCTCATTCTTCTTCTCGCTGGAAATTCTTTGTTAGAAATCCAATCCAAATCCATGTTCCTCCGTCTCCTTTCTTGTAAGCTATAAATTCTTCATTCTCATTCTTTCTTTTGTTTGATTTCGATGGATTTTGTTGGGTTTTGTTTGTGAAACGGATGATTTTTCGGATTTGAATTTGTTGTAATTTTCGGATTGAATTTGTCCCAATTTTCGATTTGAATTTCTCTCTATTTTCGGATTTGAATTACTTTATATAGATTCAAAAGGATTCCGATTCAAAATGTGTTTAAATGTGTTTCGGATTTGAAATTTGTTGAAAACCCAAACTTTATCTCTTATAATTATGTAGATAGATAATGAGATTATGTGAGTTTGTGTTTGGATTGCTCGTTTATTGTCTTGGTTTAGACAATGAGAGTTTCATAGTGACAAAAAAACATCCGTATTATTTAGGTAGAATTTAAGATTGCTTTTGAATGTTTGATATTGAAGAAGGAGAAGGAGAAGGAAAAAGAGAAGGAGATGGAGCAAGAGCAGGCGAAGCAGATGGAGCAAGAGAAGAGTTCGGCTCCTATTTTGGTCTCTGATGATGAGTTCCGCTTGTATTCTGGTCTCTAATTTTTCGTAAACTAGATTTGAGTTTAAAAGATATGGAAATCAAATATTTAATTTTAAATGCTATTAAACTTAATATCGAGAATATCTAGCAAATGGAAACTACTAAAACAATAAAATCGAAATCAAATCTAAATTTCTAATGATTATTCCACATACCTTAGTTATCATAAATAACTAATACAATATAAAAATCATTAATTCGATTGTTTAAATTAGGAAAATTTAAACATTAATTTCCAGAATTTAATTCGTTTCCGAAATTAATGCACAATTATATATCCATTGTATATATATATATTTTCTTTTTTTTGTAAACTATATATATCGTATTAACAAACGAATATTTTATATTCAACTTATTTCCTATAAAAATGCTACATATTATGACCCCATTAAAGTTTGTTTCCTAAATCAAATAAACCGTATAAAATCCACATTCAATCACAACTACTGAATTGGAAATGATTCTTAACTAAACGATTTTATTCTTATTTCCTATAGCATATTCTATTAGATTTAGGATCATGAATATTTTATAAGATATATAATACTTGCTAATCAAGATTTTGTATATTCTCTACCATAAAACCCTACTAATCTATCTAAACACTATAAAACACTAATACATTTCCGATCTCTAACTTAAGCTCAAAATTTTTTTTACGAACACCAATGGCCAAATCCTTTGCTTGCTTGAGGAACATCATGCCTTACAAAACAGATTGGCGTGTGCAGGTGAAGGTGCTTCTCTTATTTTGTTACGAATAGATATATCATTGAAAAACGATTTTGTGTTTGTAATGAAAATTTGATCAATTATCATGTTAACGTGTTATTTTTATTGTTTTCAGGATATTTGTGGCATTGCAGATCTATCAAACTAATATATATGTTTGATGGATTTCTGGTATGTACAAAATTTCACTCAATAGTTTACTTAATTCACATTAATTTATTTTTGTCTTCTACGATTATTATTTTTGATATGTGGTTCAATTTTGACCATAAATTTAGCAAATGTTCTAATAACTTTTTTGTTTTTGTTTTTCTTTTTTGAACATAACAGAGATTTAAAAAAAAAACAAACAGCAAATTTAGATCTCATTAGCTAAGAGTCTTAACATAAGAGCCATATTGTTAATTCATTCTCTAAGAGAGGTACGATTAGCTTTTTTTGTTTTATTCTTCGACTTCTATAATACAAAAATTTGATCATTATCGGCCAAAGTACTTTCACTCAATTTGTCAATTTTGAGTTGTTACTATGTTTGGTGTTTTTCTAACATTTTGTGTAACAAGATCATTTTTTAGAGATGGATAAATCCACAAGAATTTCATGGAGAACAAGTTACCTGATTCCTCATGGACAAATTGACTGAAAGAGAGCATTGAGTCGTAGCACTAGCATGAATTGTAACTTTTCTACCAGCCCTTTAACACGTTTATCATATACTCACTCTCTTTCTCTTTAGGAGGGCAGGGAATATAGAGATGGATCCAATGAGGAATAGCACGGACAAAGTCTTAAAATCATACAGATCCTTTACTGATCTGAGATCTCCAAGAGCCAAACCAGCCTGTGTAAATGAAGTTACCTGAAGCAAGCAACTTTTCTACCAGCCCTTTGAGTGGCTCCATCTTTTTAATTAGACGTTGTGCAAAATTGTAACTGTAACAACATTACAAATTATTTTATGAGATCTAATTGTTTGCAATATAATTGTAAATTTATGAATCAGAAGACGTACTATCATTAACCATAAGATCTAAAATTTCTAATCAGTTACCTTAAGAATCCATGAACAAAATGATAAGAAATCGAATTTTCCCAAGAAATAACATCAATGGCAGATGCATGGAATTTCTGTCTTCAATTGATAGATTAGTCGGTTGCTTTTATCTAATTGAGATTCAATCGCAGATGGTAGAACAATTTTCATTTGAACTTTTTTGATATTTTAATTAGGAGTAGAATCTCTACCTATAGATACTCGAATCATAAATTTGCTTCCCAGATGCTTCAAAGCTGGTCTTGATTGCTCCACCAAATTGACATCATAATTGTTTCACCTTCTTCACTAAATTGGCTTCACGGTCTGAGATGCGTCATCCTCCGTCAACCATGAAAATGCTTAGTCGCTTCACATGAACAAATTTTTTTTGTAAATATTGGTTGAGATGTGTTTCTACTTAATGATGGGTTTCTATTCTTTCTCTTTTTTTCGCTTATGGGTTTTGTAGTCTAATCTCAAATATGTGCTTGACCCAACAAAAAAATGACGTGGGCTGGGTAAATTTTTTTAAGTAATGCAATTATGGTTCGAATTTCTCATGCATTTTAATTGGAAACCTTTTTCAATTTAAAAAATGACATTTACATTTTTGGCACATTTCCCCTTTTTTCGAGAGATCAAAAGTTAACTTAGTTACCTATTTTTTCTTTTTCAAATTAATAAAAAATATTTGTCTTGAGATAAGATAAGAAACATGAAGGAATAATGTTGTTGTCAATTAATAATTTAAACCCATATTATATTTTATAATTTTAATATCACCATATTTAAAGCCTAACTGGTTTAGACGAACGAATGCAGTTGCAGTTAAAAGAATTTGTGAAAACGAGCAGTTGCGAAAATGGACAGTTACCGAAACGGAAGGTTGCGGTTTAAGCGATATTTAACGTTTTGTACGGCTGGTCCAGCAGTTAAAAATGGATGCGTTGCGGGATTTTGATGACGGGTTGGCCAGTATGTGCGATAACAGTTAAACAAAAAATTACCAAAACAAATACAAAAAGATATAAAAACAACAAAAACTATATTATTCAAATATTAAATAGTTGAATATGATTATAATTATTCATATCGATCAAACAAATACAATATTTCAATGTGAAAAAAACAATCTTGAAAAAAATTATATTTAAAAATTCGCAGATTTAATAGTGGAGCGGGTTACAATTAGCAATAATCCGAGGTAGGATTTAAATAGAATTGTTAGTGTCTTTTGATATCTTTAAATGTGTAACTATAATACTTAATTACTAAATTACATATATACTACGGGTTAAATCTAAAAGCACTAAAAATTTAAATCAAATAATTCTAATACTAATTAAAAAACTGTAAAAAATCAATATTGTTATATGTAATAAAATATTATTCCGCAGACCGCGGTGTACCGTGGGTAAAATCTTATTAAAAACCATACATAATCAAACTTTCGTTACGGTACCAATAAAAAAAAAATTAATACATCAAATTCATAAGTTTATAACAAAATAGTAAAAAAAAAATTATCCCGCGGTGTACCGCGGGTCATATCCTAGTGTATATGATTGAACGACTGTAAATTATACCTCTGAATGAGATTAATGAGTTTTGCGTTTGATTATAGTATCAAAGATCTTGGTACTAGGATTCAAATCCAAGATTAATGATTTTTATTTTTACTTGTAAAATCGACAAAAATTTTGAGTTGACATTTATTTTCGTTTGGGCCGAGACTATATGATTAATGGGCCCATAGATAGGTAAATTTTTTTTTTTTTTTTTTTGGTCAAACTGAATTCATTAAGAAACTTAAACAAGTTCTGGGATTACAACTCCAGAATTGGAGCAAAGGCCTAGAGAGGCTAGAGAAGCTTTTGCGAGTGAGTCAGCTAAAGTATTTGCTGCTCGAGGAACAAAAGTAAAAAACACTGAAGTAAATAGAGAGGCCAGGGCTCGAATGTCATGGAGAAGACCCACTAGCTCATTTACTACTTCATTTGAATGGATGAGATCCATAAGGACTTTTGAGTCTGACTTTAGGTGGATTTTTGTGAAACCTCTGGAGAGGGCATCTGACAGAGCAGCTGAGACTGCAAGTGCTTCACCTGTAAGAGCAGAGGAGACATGCATGGTGAAACTGGTTCCTTTGAAAACAGGGGAGCCCGAGTAGGTTCTGCCAATCCATCCCATCCCGCAGGTAAAAGCATTTTCATTCCAAGCAGCGTCAGATTCTAGGCAAATAGTATTAGCATCAGAGTAGGAGGGCTCAAAGGGCTCTGATGCATTCCGTGGGAGAGCCTTTTCCAGGGGGACAGACTCTAGCTGAGCTGATTGCCAGTTTTTGGCTTCTTGAATGGCTTTTAGGAGGGTTTCTTCCTCTGAAAAGAAACGATCTTCAAATAGTAGTTGATTCCTTGCAATCCATAGATTCCAGAGGATCCAAGGATAGATAGGAGTGGTAGAGAGCCCTGAGGGAGGCAGGTTCTTGCAGGGTTTTAGAGCCGAAAGGAGCAACTTTGTTGTAAGAAAGTTAGATCCTGCTAAACTGGCAGCGAGAGGGGCTCTGCTCCAGACACTTTGGGCAAACGGACAGTGGAGTAGTATATGAATTGTGGATTCCATATTACCACATCTTTTACAGGAAGCTGCTACCATCAGGATTCCACGTGAAAGGAGTTGTTCACCTGAGGGAAGAGAACCTATTGCTGCTTTCCACAGTAAGCTTTTGATCTTTGGTGATACTTTGACCTGCCATACATTAGTTTGCCATTTAAAATCATCAAAGAGATGAGGGTTGAGGTTCTTTTTAATGAGACCATAACCCGTTTTAGTGGTATATGAGCCTGATTTTGCAGGGAGCCAAACAAGAGAATCCTCAGTTTTGAGGGAAATGGGTCTGAGAAGACAGATAACATCCTCAAGGTGAGGTAAATGATCACGAATAGCTGGAATGTTCCAGGAATTGGAGTCATGGTGAAGGAGCTCTGAGACTCTTAAATTGCTGTTCTGTTCCGTGGGAGGTCCAAATGGAGTGGAAGGGGAGGAAGTAGAGAGCCATGCATCCGGCCACACTTTAGTGCTCTCTCCGTTTCCCACTATCCAACCAAGTCCCTTTCTCAAAAGTTCTCTTCCCGCTAAGATAGCTTTCCAGCCATGTGATGAGTTTGTGAGGGGCTGACAGTTGAGAAAAGAATCGTTTGCACAATATTTTCCGAGAAGAACTTGTGCAAGCAGGGAAGTAGGATCTTTAAGCAGGCGCCAACTGAGTTTCGCCAGTAAGGCATCATTGAATTCCTCAATTTCTCGAAACACTAAACCCCCTGCGCCCTTTGGGAGAGTAAGCTTATCCCAGGAGATCCAACATATCTTTCTCTGATCAGCTTTATTGTCCCACCAGAACTGAGTGAGAGCGGATTGAATTCTTTTGCAAAGCGATTAAGGGAGTTTAAAGCTTGACATTGCATAGGTGGGGAGGGCAGAGAGAACCGCTTTGAGCAGTACTTGTTTCCCAGCTCCTGAAAGAAACTTAGAAGTCCAACTGTGTGCTCTCTGTTGAATCCGGTCAACTATGGAAGTGAAAATATCTTTTTTTTTCCTTCCAAAGTGTTCGGGTAACCCTAGATATTTTCCGACTCCCCCTTCTATGAAGATATTAAGGATCCTCTTTGATCTTTCTTTCGATGCTTGGGGAGTTTTTGAGGAGAAGGTGATGGATGATTTTTCGAGATTAATGCTTTGCCCGGAAGCAGTCTCGTAGTTTTTTATAATTGCAGCGAGAGTTGCACAATGTTTGCTGTCCGACCGACAGAAGAACATTGTGTCGTCCGCAAAGAGCAAATTGTTTATAGGGGGAGAACCACATGCCACTTTAATGCCCGGGAGAGATCCATTGCTTTGAGCTTTGAGGCAGAGACCCGATAAAACTTCAGTGCAAAGGATGAAGAGGTATGGAGAGAGCGGATCTCCTTGACGAATACCTCTAGTCGGAGAGACTTTACCATGAGGTGACCCATTGATCAGGAAGGAGTATGAGACTGATGAAACGCACTCCATAACCCATCCAATCCAATTCTCATGGAAGCCTAGATTTTTGAGTACCGCACGAAGAAAGTTCCATTCTAAGCGATCATAAGCTTTGCTCATGTCGGTTTTAACCGCCATGAAACATCGTTTTCTCGCTTTTGAGATTCGGAGATAATGGAGCATTTCATGCGTAATAAGGACGCTATCTGTGATAGCGCATCCCGGGATAAAGGCCGATTGGTGCTTGGAGATAAGCTTGTTGAGAAAAGGTTGAAGCCGGTGAGTGAGGATCTTAGCAATGATTTTGTAGGTCACGTTACATAATGCAATTGGTCTAAAACCCGCAGGAGTCTTAGGGGCTTGGCCTTTTGGAATAAGGCAAACATGAGTCTTATTTAACCGGTTAGGGAGATGACCAGAGATGGAAAAACTTTGGATCTCTTTTGAGAGGTCTTCCCCTAGAATATCCCAGTAGGATTGGTAAAAACCGGCAGAGAAACCGTCAGGGCCGGGAGCCTTTTCTGGATTGATGCCAAAGACAGCAAATCTTATTTCCTCCATGGTGGGGATGCTGGTAAGGGCTGCATTCATCTCATCCGTTACCACAGGTTGGATGACTTCGTCTACAATTTGTAGATTTGCAGCAGGATTAGCAGTGAAGATATTATTGAAATAATCAACAAAGACCTTTGCAATTTGCTCCTCTTCATGGAAAGGGTTTCCTACTTCATCCTCTATTGTGGTAAGCCTGTTGCGTGTTCTTCTAGCTCTTGTGGTTGCATGGAAGAAGCTTGAATTCTTATCTCCACTTTGTAACCAGAGAACTCGGGATCTCTGCTTCCAAAAGATTTCATCCTCTTTATAGGCTTTTTCCAAAAAGGCAGAGATGGCATTGATTACTTCTGTATTTGGAATCTGAGCTGATAGGGCATCTTCGAGTTTTTGTTGGTTGTCTTTGATTGCCTTGGAGCTTATCTTATGTTGTTCTTTTGTCCAGTCAATTATATGACGCCGGCATCTGTTTGTTTTGGTCAAAACAGAGTCCTCAGGGGAGGAGTTCCACGCGGCTTCGATGATCTCCCGGATTTTTGGGTTATGGATGAGCTTCCTATCAAATCGGAAGAGGCCATGGCGCTTAATTCTTGTTGGGTCAAAGACAGTGAGTATTGGCCTGTGGTCGGAGCCTTCAAAGTTGAGATAGGAGCAACGTCCCGAAGGAAAGAGTTCAGACCATGAGGCATTGGATAGTGTTCTATCTAGCCTGCATTTGACATGGTGTTCATGTCTCTTTCCCCGCCAAGAGAGAGGGTTACCCGTATGCTTCACGTCCCAAAGTCCCAATTGAGAGACACATGAGCGAAAATTTGAAAAAGAGCCTTCATGTCGAGGGGGGCCTCCTTTCTTTTCTGTGTTGTCTAGAATCTCATTGAAGTCTCCCGTTAGAATCCAAGCTGATTCCCGGGAAGAGCCGAGTGAAATAAGAAACTCCCAGAACTCTGTTCTGTCTTCAATCTTTGGAGGACCATAGATAAAAGTTACAAAGCATACTTTACCTCTAAAAGTAATTTTCGTGTCTATGAAATTTGGGCTTGAATCTAGGATGTCCAAGAGAACATCACCCTTAGAGAAGAGTGCTAAGCCTCCACTGAGGCCTTGAGGTGGGATTGTGAACAGATTTGTGTAGCGCATCCATCTGAAAGTTTTTGAAATATAATCATCTTTGTTTTTCGTTTCCATGAGAAACATTACATCCAGAAATATATCATGATGAATATCTCGGAGTCGACGAACTGTAAAGGGATTTCTCAACCCTTGACAGTTCCAACTTGCCACGACTAAGGAAGAGGACCGGGTGGAAAACGAAAATCCACTTGTCCTTTTGAAGAAGCTGGTCTTAGTACCATAGCTGGGATCGGTCCTGAAGGTTCATTGGCATTTGTATTTTGGATCTGGGGCAGAGATTGTCCTGGAGTAGATGCAGGGGCATCGATGAAGAGACGTTTTCTTGTGGAATTTGTTACTCTAGTGACATTTCTTTTCCTCAGACTAATGCCTGTTAGCGGGCTGGTAGGAACCTGAGCTCTTGAGGATGATGTTTTATTTGCTTTCTTTTTTGCTGCAGCTTTCAAAGTGCCTTTGGTGGCAGGGGGATTTGTTGTCCTTGGTGCCCTCTTCTTTCCTACCTTTCTGGCTTTGGGAGCTGGAACTCTTGGAGGAATAGCTACTGGGGGCCAAGACGTAAAGCAGCTGGGATTCTGGTTTCCTGAGTCTCCGGGTCCTGAGGGGAGTTTCCAGTAGGAGCATTAGCCAGCAAATTACTCTGTCTTGGATTGCTAGTTTGTTCTGGAGAGAATAAGCTCCGTCTTGGATAGCTTCCAAAGGGGTTTTCTGGATCTTCTCCTTGTAGATAGTGGATCTCTATGTCTTGCATCCTACTCGATCCTGCACTTATAGCGTCTCCAGGGAGTGGGACTGGTGCTTGATTGATAGCGATGCGTTCCAAAGCTGGTCTTCTTGATGAAGGTGTTGCTGGGATTTGGACCATAGCCTGGGATCTTGGAGGAGAGAGTATTGGTTCTCTTAACGGTTTTGGAGAAGGTGTGTGGGCTTCCATTGAGTTATGAGAGTCTGCGGGGATGTGAGACGATTTGAGAACTTACTTGGGAAAAGGCATGGCCACTGCCCAGATAAACCATTGCTATTGCGGCTAAAGTTTCCCCTGTTTGGTTTGAGCAGCTTGGGGTCGTGAGAGGAGTAACCGGGAGGAGAAAGGACCGACGGAGCCACCGGAAGTCACCAGAAAAACACCGGAAAGGAAGCAAATTTGAAAAGAGCTTTCTATTTTGGGTAAATTTTAGTAGGTGAGATCTCTTGGGAATCGTGCCTGGGAGAAACCTCTCTCTAGAAACCTAACTTTGTTTACTTTAAACAAAAATAATAATGAGTGGGTAAATTTTTTTAAGTAATGCAATTATGGTTCGAATTTCTCATGCATTTTAATTGGAAACCTTTTTCAATTTAAAAAATGACATTTACATTTTTGGCACATTTCCCCTTTTTTCGAGAGATCAAAAGTTAACTTAGTTACCTATTTTTTCTTTTTCAAATTAATAAAAAATATTTGTCTTGAGATAAGATAAGAAACATGAAGGAATAATGTTGTTGTCAATTAATAATTTAAACCCATATTATATTTTATAATTTTAATATCACCATATTTAAAGCCTAACTGGTTTAGACGAACGAATGCAGTTGCAGTTAAAAGAATTTGTGAAAACGAGCAGTTGCGAAAATGGACAGTTACCGAAACGGATGGTTGCGGTTTAAGCGATATTTAACGTTTTGTACGGCTGGTCCAGCAGTTAAAAATGGATGCGTTGCGGGATTTTGATGACGGGTTGGCCAGTAGGTGCGATAACAGTTAAACAAAAAATTACCAAAACAAATACAAAAAGATATAAAAACAACAGAAACTATATTATTCAAATATTAAATAGTTGAATATGATTATAATTATTCATATCGATCAAACAAATACAATATTTCAATGTGAAAAAAACAATCTTGAAAAAAATTATATTTAAAAATTCGCAGATTTAATAGTGGAGCGGGTTACAATTAGCAATAATCCGAGGTAGGATTTAAATAGAATTGTTAGTGTCTTTTGATATCTTTAAATGTGTAACTATAATACTTAATTACTAAATTACATATATACTACGGGTTAAATCTAAAGGCACTAAAAATTTAAATCAAATAATTCTAATACTAATTAAAAAACTGTAAAAAATCAATATTGTTATATGTAATAAAATATTATTCCGCAGACCGCGGTGTACCGTGGGTAAAATCTTATTAAAAACCATACATAATCAAACTTTCGTTACGGTACCAATAAAAAAAAAATTAATACATCAAATTCATAAGTTTATAACAAAATAGTAAAAAAAAAAATTATCCCGCGGTGTACCGCGGGTCATATCCTAGTGTATATGATTGAACGACTGTAAATTATACATCTGAATGAGATTAATGAGTTTTGCGTTTGATTATAGTATCAAAGATCTTGGTACTAGGATTCAAATCCAAGATTAATGATTTTTATTTTTACTTGTAAAATCGACAAAAATTTTGAGTCGACATTTATTTTCGTTTGGGCCGAGACTATATGATTAATGGGCCCATAGATAAGTTTCGTCTAAAAACGGCGTCGTAGTCGGAAAAGATTAGACCCTCGGACTGACCTAGATGGATCAGAAGTTCTTTAACCGTTTCGTTAAGGGAACGAAGAAGCCGAAAACTTTCTCTGCGCTCTTCTTCTTCTTCGGAATTAAATCTCTCTAGCCCCTTTTCCTCCAAACATTCTTTCAAAAACCCTCACTTATTCTCACTACCCCCTCTCCTTCCCAATACATTTAAAAACCAACTATACCCTTGCCTTTTATCCAATTTATTTCTACATTAAATTTTATTACCAACAAATTCTTAAAAGCAACCAATCATATTCATTCTCTCTCCTCCAATATTCTCCTACTCCAATATTAGATGCAACAAATTCCGAAGCTGTTGAGTTGAGGTCACAAGTTTCAGGGTTGCAAAGCCAAGTCCAGAACTTGTCTGGGATTATTCAACAATTAGTTGGTGCCTCTACTACTCAGGTAAATTTATGGTGCTTAGTTTTTCATGTTATAATAGTGTGTTTTATTGTGAACTAATGTTACTGTATGTATAGACAACTGGATCGACAACTGGATCGACGCCAAATTTAGCTGCTCTGTTAGCAAACTTGGCCAATCAGCCAAATTTTACTACTATTTTATCGAGCTTGGCCAATCCACCAAATTCTCAGGTATTTTTTTTGAAATCTTTATGTCTTCACTTGTTTAATTCATCATTTCTCCTCAACTCTCAAATATTCTATTTGATATCGAAATATCTGTGAAGAACTAGTCAGGAGAGAGTAGTCTGACATAATTTATTGTTAATTGGGTTGTTCATAGGCAATGGAAGAAGGACATGAAAATCGGAACGTGGGCAACTCCGGTACTTAGGATTACAAGATCTTGTTATATTAAGTTCATTAGCTATATTTCTTTGTGGATTATGTGTTTGCTTTCTTTAAACAGTGATATCTACATTTTGTTACATTCAACTAGGTTTTATATTTGATGCATTTTTATTTTATCACGTATTTAATAGATTTGATATATTATTTACAAAAGAAAAAAGTTTATTATAAAATTAAAAAAGAATTATTACTTCGATTGTAGAAGTGATGCGACGACTATATAAAGTGATGCAACAACAATTTGTTAGAATCAATTACAATAAATGATATAAATATTTTTTATCATTTTTTTATAAACGTCACAAAAGTTAATATCAGCTGTGATAAACTGATACAATTTATTTCATCGTTTATACTAACTGATGTCACTATTAATATCACATATTTTAAATGACACAAGTTTACCATCACTTGTGAAAGCTGACGCAAATTATTTACATCAATTATTAAAACTGTTAGTAAATATTTACATCGGTTATTGTAGTCGTCGCAATATTTACATCATTTCTTATAACTGACGTATTGTAGCATCATTCGTTATAATTGATGGAAATGTTGCTATCGGTTGCTATAACCGATGCATTAATTTGCATCGCCACTTTTGATATCAATTATATAAGTGATGGTAACTCATTTGTATCATTCGATAACCGATCTAAGTATAGAAAATAAGTGATGTTATCCACATGTTTTTTTGTAGTGCTAGTCTAGTTTGTGCTATGATATTATAAAAAGTAAAAAAATTTCGAGCAATTTTTCTATTTATTCAATTAGGTATTATTTAGTTTTGATAGTGCGAATCTTATTTAAGAAATTATAAGCAAAATATTTTACCAAGTTGATTATGAAAATATTTACAAAATTATATTGAGAAAATCAAAACTTTAATATACTTAGGACTCGAATTCCATTTCAACTCTAAATAGGAATACAAAAAATAAAATCCTTAAATCCTATAAATCTATAAATATAAAACACTACCGATCCAACAATCATCTTTCTAAAAACCAACACACAAAGAAAAAAGTTCACCTAACCAAAATTCCATCGAACTATGGAATACGTTGACAACCTTCAGCCACAAAGTAATGTTATAAGGATTTTTTTATAAATTACGAAAATATATTTTAATTTTGTGGGGCTTTTCTTTAAAAATTTTATTTATTTTAAAAATTTACGGAATAAATTATATAGATGACTAAATATGTGGAGTTTTACGGATACTGAACACTAAAAGCGAAACACAGAGTAAAAAAATACAAATTGGAAAAATGTTGATTGCACAGAATATGTATCATGAATATTGTACACCTGTAATGCAGATCAGATCTTTTCAAACCGAACGATTAAAAGATCATACCATAGTAGTTCTACATGTTAGTTTCTCTCAATCTCATTTTGTCTTTGCTCATGCTTATAAACTTCCATATTAACATAGTTTTTAGATGTATAGAACATCTAAAACATTTCACTCTAGTGCAATAATTACGGATGAACATCTCTTGAGGCAGATAATAATCATCTTCAAAGTCGATGGTCAGATCAAGGTCCGATACACCACGCTGCAGTACTTGACACAACCAACGATTCACACGAACTGGAGAAGCATCAGCTTCACACTTGAGGGAGAACTTACGAATGGCAGAATTTCCCAGCAAAGACAAGACTCTATCCACAAAACCCATGAAGCTCTAAAGAATTTCATCTCTTTCCCGCTTACCCTCTTCCGGATGAAGAAACACAGAATCATCAAAGTCAAGAATAAGGACAAGTGCAAACAGATTGCGCCACTTCTTTGAGAGAACTGTTGTCGAAACAGCCTTCTTTGTGGTCAGGAAGGACAATATATGACAACGAACATCGTCTGATAATCTGGATCCATCTTCTCTACAGTAAATAGTATTTTATCACCAAAAAGTATTTCCCACAAAATAGCAAATAAAAATATTTAATAGAATAATAATGTAATTATATAATTATTGATCAAATGCAATTTACCAAAAAGCTTCCTACTCGTAATAGAGAGAGGTTCATTCAAACCTAACAGTTAACAACGACGCGAATAAGAAACCCACCCAGAGCAAATTGATTTTGAAAATCCAAATTTTCGCAGTGCACTATACTTCAAAATTAGGGCAGTTCACATCTAGTGAGAAGACAAAATTGAGGGGTATTCTGGAGATTTTGTCAAATAAAATGATAAATAACTGAAAAAGATATCTAGCTACACGAAATATGTACAATACATGACCACACATCTGAAGTTTAAAAATATATCTCTAACTACACAAACTATATGCATCACATGCCCACATATACGAACTATATGTAGGGATAATTAGGAAAAAAAATCCAAAAAAAAACTTAAATTAGTATTGTACGCCATATCTTTTAGAATTAAAGATATACACCAACAAAACAGAATTGCTTTAATATTTATCCGATAATATATTTATTAAAAAAATTGAATTTAATTGATTTTGATAAAACCTAAAAATCATGACATACTTATCTATGCTAATATTTAGGTTCTTATATATATATACTAGATAGTCACCCGCGGTACACCGCGGGGTTATGAATGCTTCATTTTTGTGAAGATGTGTGCATTAAAAAAGTTTTTTTTATATTTGTTACTCGGTTGGTTTTTATTTTTGGAAATTTCCGGTTTTTGGGAATTTGCGGTCCCGTCCCGTCCAATCTCGTTCCCATCCCGAATTTTAAATGGGACATAAAATAAGACCTCTTTCTCGATTCCCAAATTTCAGTCCCGTTTCCGTTCCCCCAAATTCCGTTCTAAACAATGATTTTGAGAACGCTTTTTTCATCGTCATAAAAGGTAAAATAGTGATTTGAGATTTTATTTGTTAGTGAAATCATATTTATAGAGGTTATAGTGGTTAGGTTAAGTTCGATAGTAAATCGAGAATATCTTGGCCATAAAATCAGATTTGCTAGATATTTACCACATTTTATGGAATCCGAAATAAATGGTAGATTAGGAAATTAACAATCTCCAGATATGTTAAAGGAATATTCTTGAAATTAGTTTTTTTTTAAATTTTTTTTAACAGTTTAAAAAAATATTTTACTTTAACAAAAAAATTAATAAAAAAATATTTTATTTATACAATTACAATTTTATTTAGTAATATATCTTTTAAAAATATGATAATAACCCGCCTTTTCAAAAATAATTATTCCAAACTTTGTTTTATTTCAATTCTAATTAAATTTTAAAATATTTTAGTCTACTACTATAATATTTTTTTAATAAAATAAAATATAGATAAAATAGAGTTTTAACATCTCAGTTTTTAATTAACAATCAATTAGGTCGTTTTGGTATTTTAAAAGAAGGGGAGACTCACAAAAATGCCCCTTTTTCAATACCCCTTTTCAAAAATGCCCCCTTTAGCTGTCCATTTTTAAACATACCCCTTTTTATGTACAAAAT